CCGGACATCCTAAATAAGCCTCTCCTATGTCAAAGACCTGTGTGAATTGAGGTTAAAGATATGGGGAGCAGAGGGTCTAAAGACGTACCGGCTCCACCAGAAGGGACTCCAGCATTGTACGTGGGCACACACTACGGCCATAAGAGTTGTAAGTTTCTAGGGAAATGGAATCGGTATACCCGAGATGATGCTAGCTTGCAGTTTCCCCTGGAGGGAACATTTGATGTAAGTAAAATCCTTCATCTCCATGAAGCCCTTGAGTCAAGAGGCAGTAAAACACCACAGACTCAGTGGGACACATTTTTGATTAGTATGCAGAAGCTTCCAAAGATATCAAGAATCTCAAGTTCGGAGCCTTAAGGACTCCCAAGAAAAACTAAAATCTCAGATAAAAGAATTAAAACGGAAAAGTGCACCAAAAGGGGATCCCCCATCAACAACATTATCAGCACCAGCATAACTTTATCCACAATTGACTGAGAATGAATCTGTAGAAGACCTAATTGATTTTTTCTGGTGTGCCACCCCCATACCAGTCCCAGGAGATCTCCTAAACCCTGTTAAGCAATTCCCCAATATCAGGGAAGAACCCCAGAAGTTTCGAGAGGAATTGGAAACTGTAATCAACTGTTATGAGCCAGCATGGGCGGATTTAAACCAATGAATGAGAAGTGTTCTGTCCTCCGCGGTCTGTAACCGTCTCATCGCACAGGCTAATTGGCCTCCTCGAGACCCCAGAATGGGAGGTCGTTTAGTAGGTGCCCGAGAACGCCTTCTTGAGGCCGTGCTTAAAATCTGCCCCAGGAAAACTGACCTGGCCGAAATAAATAACTGTAAGCAAAACAAAGGAGAATCCCCAGCAGACTACATGGATTGCTTAAAACTTATAATTAAAAGACAATCTGGCATTGAAGATGCAGCTGAAACTGCCCCAGAAGCAGTTGTCGCCGCTTTTGTCCAAGAACTTCATTCTAAAGTCCAGGAACAGCCGTGTACAGTTGCTGTAGGCTGGCAAACTAAGACGCTTACAGAATTAGTCACCATTGCTAATCACTGTGCAGCCTGCCAAGAAAAGGAAAAGGAATCCACAGAAACTAAGCTAACGTCTTTACAAATACAGACTTTAGGCAGAGGTAGAAGCCGAGGTTTCTATTGTGGACAATTCAGAGGCAGGGCACGTGGTCGTGGGATGGGACGAGGAGAATTTCAGTCCCAAAATAATGACAGTTGTTATTATTGTGGCCAACCAGGACACGGGAAGGCTCAATGTCCTCACCGGCCTGGCCAGCCAGGGATGACGTTTAACCAGCCACCACCTCCTCTCACTCACTTTTCTGTCCTGAACCAAGCAGCCTCCTGTTAGGACAGCCTGAGGAATGATCACATCAGCACTGCCCCGCTTCTCTTACTTAATCAAGGGGATCCCTTCGTTTCCTCTTTAATAAGTGGCACCCCTACAAAATGTTTAGTAGATACCGGCGCAAGTCGCTCTACTCTCCCAGCTGAAGAATTTTCTACAACTCCCCTCTCCTCTGCTGTTGCAAACGCTGTAGGGATTTCTAATCAGACAGTTCCTCATCCTGTTTCCCAACCCTTACATGTTTCTCTCGGCCCTGTTTCTGAGCAACATGCTTTTCTCCTCAGTCCTTGTTCTCCTGTTAATTTGTTAGGCAGAGATTTGCTTTGTAAACCCAGCGATACTATTTATTGCTCTCCTAATGGTGGTTATTTGGATGTTCCCTGTGTTAATGAAATGGCTATACTTTCTACCCTAGCTAGCTCACGTCCTGAGCCTGAGACCCCTCATCTTGCTGAGTTACAAGAGAAAATCATAAAGCCTGTCCCTCCCTGTTATAACAGCCCTGTTGAAACCCAGCTAAGCCATTACCTAAAGCTGAAGAGCCCTTGTAATACACTTATTCTTCCTGTAAAGAAACCTGGAAAGAATACCTATTGCTTTGTACAAGACCTCCGTGCAGTAGATTCTGTAGTTTTACCTACTTTTCCTGTTGTACCAAATCCAGCCTCTATCTTGTCCTGTATTCCTCCTAATGCCTGTTATTTTACTGTTGTTGACTTGTGTTCTGCATCTTTCTCTATCCCTATACCCCCAATAGCCATTCACCTATCAGGAACTTCAGTATACCTGGACTTGATTGCCCCAAGGCTATACTGAATCCCCTTCTCTTTTTCCTCAAATTCCGAAGAAGGATTTAGATGACATAAGGCATCTAAAGAAAAGCTACAGCTTTGTCTCCCTCATGTCCACTATTTGAGTCATGATATTTCTGCTGGAGAATGACTGCTTTCTTCTTCCAGGATAGAAGCTATTCTTAAACTCCCTAGACCAACTACTGTGTCCCAAATGCGTACTTTCCTAGGCATGGCTGGCTACTGCCGCCAGTGGATACTTGGCTATGCCTCTATAGTCAAGCCCCTGCAAAACCTGACTCTTGTTAATCATAGAGACAAGCACCGTCCCATTGCTTATTATAGCTCTGCTCTTAACCCAGTTGCAGCCGGGTTTCCTCCATGTCTTCGTGCTGTAGCTGCAGCTGCTGTCACTGTTGAACTGTCCTGTACCTTTGTATTAGGTTCTCCCCTTACTGTTGCTGTCCCACACGCTGTAGCAGCCCTTTTACTAAAAACTAAAACCCAACACCTTTCAAATGCTAGATTGACTAAGTATGAAGTTTTGCTTCTTTCTGCTGGAAATATTACTTTAACTAGATGCCC